CAATAGATCTGCGTCAATTTAAAATTGCGGTGATCTATGGCAATCGGCAAATAAAAATTTATAAATTCAAATTGATTATCGTAAAAGCGGCAACGAGCGGCCAAATATGCCTCCTATGGCTGCGGGCGACAACGTGCGGCTAATGATGAAACAAACGGCAAATAGGTACTATTAAGTACGCGTCGGCAAAAACGATGATGTAAATAAAATCGGCAAATAATTCGGTAGTATTGATGACTTAGCAACTAAAATGGACCATAAAATTACCTACTTCTGGAAATTACAGTAATACATAAATGACGTTCCGATCCTAATTGCTTGTTTATATTTTCGGGGCAAAATATAAAGATAATTATTCTTACGCGTATGCATAATTGCATGGCACAGACCGATAATATTTACTCGTTTTTATTTTGATAATATATAGGTTTACTTTGTATTGGGGAAAAAATCGCTTATTTATTTACTATTTTGAGAAAAAAAAATATTAAAACCTTCTAATGTAATAATATTATAATTAAAATTGTCCCAGAAATTATAGCATCAGCAAAACATCGCGATCACCGGCACACACGCTGCGTGTGTGTCATAGTTACTAGCATCGTCTCGGGTACCGTCTGAGATTGTACATACTACATTATTGTTGTCCGTTAAAATTATGATCATCACTTTGAATACGTTGTTGTATCATTTCTGTTCTAACGAATGTTAAAGAATCGTATTAAAATATTTTATAGTCGTGTCAAATTCAAATAATAATATGAAGTGCGAGTCGGGAATTGGTGTCCAAAGATGGTCAGGCAACGCAATAACAGAAAAAGGCATTGCCTTACAAACGAACGTTTATAATTCCGAGATAACGGTTAGATTTAAATTATAAAATCTGCAACGGCAATTGTCTGCCTCCAAGGAAATATGTGTTTTTTTTTTTGCTAGATGTATTCCTAGTAATCTTTTACACCGTGAGAATTGAGAATTATAATTTATATTTTTAAAAGATGCTACCTAACAAAAGTTAATGATTAATATGATTCGCGCATAATATGTATAATTCCCCACCAAAAAAAAAATATATACTTTTACAAAAGAAAAATAGAAATTTAGTTTTCCTTTGTCTTATACTGTCTCTTGGAATTTCCATCAAGAGACAGAGGAAAACAGAGGAATTGTAGTTTAGATATAATTTTGAGTTCCTAGGTTATAGTCTAAGTTCCCTATGTTATGTTGCTGGTTAGTGATAAATAGTCTGCTAGTATAATTGGGTCTCTGTCTATTGCTAACACCCTTTCTAGATTGATCGTTAAAAGCACTAAAAGTAGACCTATTACAATTATATTCAAATTTCCTTTTTCTGGTTCCATTATAATAATTTTGCGTTGTCCTATTTTTCCCATTGAATACAGCCCTAGAATGATTATTATTTAACCCACGGGGGTGTCTATAATATTTATATTATTTTATTAGTTCAGATTCTTATTAGCCCTATAGTAACTATTGTTGTTATTATCTTCAACCCTATTTATATTAATTCCATTATTATCATTTTTAAAAAAAATCAATATGTATTTTCTCATTATTCATATTGAGTTGTATTTTTGACTTAGCAAAGTTAACTACGCCCTTATATTTAATTAGAAAATCAACTCCAAGAAGACTATTACAATTCAAATTTCGTACGACCGCGCATTGTATTTCTACAGGAATATTATTAAAATATACTTTAATAGTTGACCTACCAACTAAATCTTCCTCACTACTACTATAATCAGAATTACTCCTAGGTCTATTTCGTCCATATCTGCTATCGGATGCGGCGTCGTCATTATGATAACTTCTATTCCTATAATCATTATTATTATCGCGATTGTTATAATGTTTACCTTTACCGTTACCATTAAATCTACTGCCATTATTTCTATAATTATTAAAATTTCTTCTAAAATTACCATTACTTTTAAACGGTTTATTATTCATGTTAGCTTTAAGTTCCTCTTAAACGTCTTACTTCATCACTAATATCGTTATATTTGCTAACTTTAAGTACCTCAATCTCTCTTTTCAAAAATTAAATCTCCTTTGCAGGGTTCTTACGAATCGCCTTAGCAACTTCATACGCCTTTACATTTTTCGTTATTTTCTCTACTGACGAATTATCTAATGTATATATTTTCCAATAAACATCCTCTAGTAATTCCTTCAATACTAATTTCGTAATCTCTTCTTCACTCATTGTATCGTTCACTCGACTGCATTCGGTAACTACATTCAGAATATACTCCTGTAAACTTTTTTCCCCCTGTTTTTCTCTCTTATTCAAATTTTCTCTCAAAAGTATACGTTGCTCCTCTGTATTATAATACACTAAACATTCCTTTTTCAAATCTGCCCATTTTAAATCTGTGCTTTTAGATTCTATTATTTTTTTACAACTTTTTCGCTTGTTCTCTTAAATATAGCGGAAACATTATTAGCCTTTGCGCCTCACTCCAGTCGTTTGCAGCCGATATCCTATCGTAAGTTTCTAGGTAATCATTAATATCTTCGGTCAATCGACCGGAAAAGCATTGCGGAGTGATATTCATAATTAATTTTTAATTGAATAAAAAAAATAACGTATTTTAAGTTAAATAAAATATACTTTAAAATTCCAGAGCAATTTGTACCGTAAAATAAAACACCTTAACACAAACTGAGAGTGAATAAATTAATCAGTGCAGTTATATGGGGTCGTGGCCGTAGCTTATTCCCTTGCAAAATGGGTTCTTCCTCCAGAGTAAAAATAAAACTAACGACAATCGGCGCCTCCACCAAGTTGTAACGGACCTACTTGTCTAGCTGGCTAGACTAGGCAAAGTTGCCGTCGATAAGGCTAAAATAGACGGATTCCCACGGAAAAACGGTTGGCTAGGCCCCTACGTCTACGTCTAATTGGCCTTAAAGTCTCCCTTATTAACTTAATATATCGCCCGAGGAGCTAGAACGGGCGGTCACACTGTTAACTAATCTAACTCTCAGCTGCAGGCTACAAGATATTTTATTCTAAATTAAGGTAGTATAAAAAAGCTAAATAAAATACAAAATTATACAATATATATACACTCTGACCTGGGTTGGACGATGAAATGGTTGGTCAAAGCGGAGTTTGAAACGGACGCACACAAAAGATAGTCGGATGGGCGGCTTGTAGTAAAACAATAGAGCGCAAGGTCGAGGATATTGGCGGTCCGTGATGGTAAAATAAACTGGTTAATTAGATGATACGCGACGTGCACTTTCCCGTGTGTGCGACCGCTCCCCTACCTATAGTCGGGGGTGTTGTGTCAGCAGGTTTGGGAAGAGGAGTAACGGTCAGGTGAAATATGATCGTTACACCATCTTAAGGGGGTTGAAGTGGCCTGTTTGTTGGACATTTTAGGCCAACTCAAGATGGTTAGATATAAATTATGTAAAAATATTTGTCTAAATCGGCCACTTTTCTAGGCTACTTTAGAAATTGACTAATAATATCTCATTTAAAATTGTGTTTAAGTCCTATTTTATTTGCTCAAATTTGCCTTTTCGAAGTAAATGAATCAGTTATTCAACAATCGACTTCCATAATAACATGCATTCCTGCATTCAATCCCTTTAGTGTAATCGTTTAGCAATTGATTTATTTATTGTATTTTTAAACGAGTTAATACCCAATTACAAATAAGAGAAGAACAGGAACATAAACATACACATCCAGTTTTCGTCACAAGTTTTTAGGTTTTGTGCCTGAGCTAAGACATGAAAATGTCAAAAATTTATAATATAATTGTATAGTTATATAAAGTGAACAAAACATTTATAACATTGGGATTTAGTTTGCCAGGGCTGAGGAAAATAATTCCCGTGGTACCATGGTTACAGACCAAGTGTTTATTTTGGGTTATCAACGAAAAATATTTCGTATTTAAAGTACAAATTTCGTGTTTGAGGCCACCCTTAGGGGTCGAATTTTCGAAAAGTACTATGCCAGTTATCTTCGCGGGAATGTACTCAACAACTTCCCAAAGTTTCATGGCGATCGGATGGATGGTGTACTAATGCATAAAGGACAGACAGACAGACATACATTGATTTTTATATGTATAGAAGATTTAAGTATAAGTACTGGAACACAAATTTATAACTTTGAAAGTGTTCATAATATATATTTATCTTTACTTAATTATGAGATAAATCTGTTTAGCGAATAGTTGTTTAACTTGGTTAATGCTTAATAAGTCAATACTACTAGAAATTGTCTATTTTCATTTGTTTAAAATTAATATTAGTGAAATCAATTTTGAGATTTTAGATTGTATTTCAATATTTACACAATACCTCAATCTAAATCTACTGACTTCCCAAGGGCCAAAGCCTCAGTAAAAGTTGGAAAGTCACAAGTAACTCTTCTTTTATTTCAAACATGAAACATACACTTGACCGACACCCTTTTTTTTGCCATATTATAGTGTTTTTTTACGCTCATTACGAATCTGAAGTCAGAATTAGGCGGACTCCGTTAGTTTAAAAGTTATAGCTAGTCGAAATTTGCATATTTCGCCTATGTAACAGTACGCGGAGGCGCCTTTCCTCTCGCTCCTAGTAGAGTGTTCTAGCCGAACAAGTCACGCAGTAACAACACTATAAATGACAAATTTCATCTAGTTGGTACTTTAGGGGAGGGGTAAAAGACGAAGAATTTCACTTCTGTCGATTAGACATATTTATATAACTATGTGTAGTCTAAAGTGTTTTACATTTTCATAGGTGCACAGAGTTGATACGAAAAACGTTAAATTAAAAAAAAGACAACCTGTAAAAGTGACCATGTAACACCATAATCATTTTCTGTACATTTTTCACTGGATTTATGAAAAGTTTAATACATTTTGTTTTGTAAATGATCAAATGATATAGCGCAGTAGAAATAAAAACATTTGACGCACATTTGTCAATCTGTGTACACGAATCCTAAAGCAAACTAGACATGACTTTGTCAATAAATTGAAGTAGAGCAACTACATTTTGTCTTATGAACACTATAGTTACACACAGTACGATATTACAGTCGAACTAAGCAGTACATTATAACAGTTGAATATTTTACCTGTACGATACGAAAAATGATGAATATCAAGATTATTCTTTTACTTAGTCTAGCAGCGTATGCTTTGTAAGTATTTTTTAAACATTAGTTATAGTTTAAAATTTGTAATAAAAATGTAATCAAGCCTAGACTTTTTGTGTGTAAACTATACATTGAAAAAATAACTCTTACTTTTTAGGTGTGGCGATAATCAATTACCGGAAAATGGTAATTAAATATAATTTAGTTGTTGGTTAGAAAAAAAACCTTTACAAAATACTCAACAGATTTGTTACCTGAAACAGACCTGGACTGTATTAAATAACATTGCATTAGATATCATATACATTTTACATGTTTCTACAATTATTTAAAGAAAACATTTTTCAGAAATATTATTTTTTAAGATTTTTGTCTTTTTATGAAAAATTTTTAAAATCTTGACATATGGTATTTATTGTTTCTGTATCTGGTATTAAGCGGTTCATATGCAGTTTTTTTTACAGATTAATATTTAATATATTTTTTTTTTAATTCGTGTACTTTCTGCGGTAAAAAAAGACGGCAAAATTTATATGTAGTTGTCAGCGCAAAAAGTATGTGCACAAATAAAAAAAAAAAAGATAGAGAAATATATCTGACATTTAAACTGGATTTACGGACAAGGGCATCCTAATAAATACCCGATAAAATGTTTTACTCGATCCTACCGTTTTTCGCTGAGTTATAGCTAAATTATTAAGTATAATAATACAATTATTAAGTTAAATAATTGTATTATACACGTGATACACAGTAGTGGTATGGTCAAAAACAAATAATGCTATGACATTAAATTATGTACTAATTTTAATAGGTGCACACTGCACATAGTTGATACAACATTTTAAAAAAAAAAACGTGTTTTTTATATGGGATTTATGAAAAGTTAAATATATTTTGTTTGGTGAATATTCCAATGATATAGCACTGTAAAAAGAAACATATATTGACATATCTGCGTATACAAATCCAAAAAATGTAATAATAATTAATAATTAATGGTTTTATTTGTTAACTAAATTTAAAAAATTGAAGCTTCAGGTTCAGGTTCAGGTTCACCGCGACAGAATACTTTCCAGGAAATATTTCAGAATGCTGACGCTAAGGTAATTTAAGCTAGTATTTTAAAACTTTTAGTTTTTTTTCAATATTTTGCTAAATTATTTATAATATAAAAGTTAAAGCTTTCCTAAATAGCTATTCTTATTTAGAAAACAATGTTTATTTAGGAAACAATTATTATTTAAGCTTAAAGACTTACAAATAGAATTATTGCCATAATCATTTATAATCAAAACAAGTTTTTAATATTGATTGTTAAAAATTGTGATGATATTGTTATAATAGATAAAAGCTTGAATCATAACATAAACATTTTAGTTAAATTCATTCATTATAATAAATGTTTTACCTAAAACATTTTTTAGCCCAAACAATGTATTTAATTTTACTACGCTGTAAATTATTAAATATTACATTTTATCACTCTTTGATTTATTAATTAAATGTTGGTATTAGTAAACCGAACGTAATGAACAATGTTTTCTAAATAACTTTTTTTTTAATCAGTTCGGCAAAATGTTGTAAAGACTTTGCATAAGTGTTTGACCAAAGTATTTTTATAAAATTTATTAATTTGGTTACTAAAACGTCAATAGCTTCTAATAATAATTTATTTTCAAAATTTTTAGTATATTTGTATTATATAGTAGCAACCAATAAAATAATGTTTAAAATCATTTTTATTTTTTGGTTTGGGTAATAAAACATTAAAGATATTATAATGCGTTATGTACTTTGGCATACCTACCTGCTTCTATAATTAAAACACTTTTTAAACTAATTTTAAAAAATTACTGCCATTTTATAGGTTTAAAATCGAGTAATAAATATTTTATTTTTAGTAAAAAATTACAAAATTAAAAAAAATTACATTTTCTCCATAAGAAAAAAAATGGTACATATTAAATGCAATTTATACTTTTATTTATAATAAAGTAATAAAAAATATATTTTTTTTTTTTGGCCTGTTAATTAGCACGCAAGTTATACGTATATTTAAGTATATACGTGTTTAAATTTAATAATAGAAATTTTTATGAAATTAAACTTTGTATTGCTAAAACAATTTCAGGCTATGAAAGATGCGTTCGATGAAGCTTTATCATTTCTCAAAATTAACAAAATTGAAAACAATCCTAGTGAAATTTCGTTGAATAATTTCTTAGTGTTTGCAATTCAGGCCGATAAAGATGTTTACAAAATCATGAAAGGATTATGGGAAAAAAACCAAAAACCAGAAGAATATTATAGTAAGTATTAATTAAATATACGTTATGTATCATTCCACACATTTTTTTTTATCTTTGAAGCGAAACTTTAAAGTAGTTGGTTTTGATAAGTATTCTCATTGGCATTTATATAAATAAAAGTGCTTAAGTATATTTTGTTATCAAACAGCGTAGATATGCGTCTAAAAAGTGTTTAGCAATTGACGACCGAAAAATGTAAAAATTTACGCTCAAAGAGGTAAAAAAAAAATATTTTCTGCTACTAGTCCGGATACAAATTTAAACAATTAAAAACACATAATTGTAAAACTAATAGATTTCATTTAAAATAAACTGTTTCATCGACAACTAAGGTTCCAAGACCACTCAACCACACTATGCCCCTCGTAATAGGTAACATAATATATTATTTGTATTTGAATTGAAATGTTCGATTTTTTTTGTTTTAGATAGTTTAAATTTTGAAAAATTTGAAGAAGTTGTTAAACACATTTGCGAAGTAAAAAAAATAACCGTAGAAGAATTCGCTGGAGATAGAAAAAAGGAAGGGGATGGAAGGAGAAACATTTTATCTATGCGTTTGAACCAATGGAGCGATGGCGATTGATGACTTCTTATCTTGCTAGTATAATAATAATAAGTTTAAATTTTGGTTAAGCATATCAACGTTAATACGCCTTATACGGAGCCAGTTACGACATAGAAGACTTTTTATCTGATTTGTATAATGTTTGATTATTATACCTAATATGTTTAAATTTTTCTAAAAACGTTTCAAAATACAATACTTCTAATCAACCTTTATGACTCCAAAAAAACTTTTTCTTTTCAAATAAACACCAATTTCTTAAATTTTGTGCTATTTTATTAATTTTTTTTTTATAAAAAAAAAACGAAAAAATACCATAAAAACAAACAATTAAACATCTTTTTAACCAGGCATAAGTGTAAAAAATAAAATGTTTAACATTAATATGTGTGTGTATATAAAAAAAACAACTTTGTTAATGATCAACTTTTCCTTGACATTCCACTACGTATTTAGGTATATTATAATGATTAACAACATATAACTATGACTAATATAACCTGTTATATAAAATATTATTCTAACAAAGAGCACGTTATAATACCCCCTAAGTGTTAAGAGATCGGCGCACAGTGGTCTGAAACGCAATTTTAGGTGGAAAAAACTTATATTGATCAAATTTTCCTCAGATTTTGTCCAAAAAATTATAAAAAAGTGGTGCTTAATGTTTTTGGGGTCAAAGAGTTCAAAATTTATATCAATTTTTAAATTCACGTATAATTGTAAGATGCAAGTAAACATAATATTTTGTTTTTAAATTGAAATTTAACTTTCGTAAACTTCTTCATAAGTTTCATAACTTAAATTTAATAATGATTTTACGTCATTGTCCAATTCATTTTTTTTTTTTTTGGTATGTTGCAAATTGAGGAAATATATGGATCTGAAGTGACAAGTAATAAGTGTAGAACGTCTTCATTTTGAGCTACTCTACTAATTTTTCGCGAGTAATGTTCGCGATAATTTTTATAGTCTTTATTTCGAGCTTCCTGTGCTTCCTCGGAAAGTTGTCCTTAAAAATGTTCATATTACATTAGTTAATTATAATAAAGTTTATAATGGCTTTTACGCCAAAGTCTTTGTAAAACCAAAGTAAACTTTAAAATTGAATGGTTGACTAACTTAATGTGTATTGCGGTTCCCATTTTACATTTTCATACCGTGCCCTCAAAATTTCAAATAAATAGTTTCTCGATTTTAAAAAATGGGGATTTAGTGGACCTCTATTTTTTAATAGCTGATAAAAATCATTATAAGAATAATACCGAGAATCAGTGTTATTCCAATCCAAATTGTCGTCAATTTCAGAATCATTTATTCCAACACTGCCGCTAGAGCTACCTACAAAAAAAATTATTAAAAATACAGATGCAAATGGATGCAAACCAAATTTTGGGATCTGGTACTGAAGAACAAGTACTATGTTGTATATATATTGAATAACGATTATTATGGGTTATTTTTTAGTTATACGCTTTGAAATATCAATATTAACATTTGTTTACTACTTTTTTAACTTTGTTTTAATAGTAAAATAATAAATATTTATAATATTAATATGAAACACTTACCTAAGTTTTCGAATTCATTACTTATATGAAACTAATTAAAAAAAAAAAAAGTTTACCTGTGTATAATATACTAAAATAATGTAATGTACAATCGGTGAACGATTCGACGTTTGTGAGCGCGTTATTATGTTTTACTTATCGCTTGCGCCGCTTGGTAATGTTAATATTTTCTGAAATTCTATTTTTTTGTTATATAGAACTTATATATAATGGGTTAATAACATAAAATACCTATTTTTATGAATTTTAATAATTGACTTTATTCCACCTAAATTAGCTTTTAGACCACTGTGCGGCGTAGACAATTCTTTTTTAACAGTTTTTAATGAAATCTAGCACTATTATTGGGGTGTTCCACTCCAAATCGACCAGGACATGTAAATCAAGTCACTTATATTACACTTAAATAATATTTTTTTAGGCTGTCATTTAACATTAATTCATTTCATTGAAAATACTAACAACAAAACGTAATACTATAAAACAAAAAAAAAAACCGTATAAAATGATTTTATATCACAAAATACTATACACGAAAGTCTCTAATCTTGTGGGTTGTGTATAAAATATAAATCAACATAATAAGAGGTTAGTATTGGTATTGAGTTGGACTACCATTAGAGACCATCTGGTTCAGAAGTATAAATACCATTTGAAGATAATAAGAAAACTGGCAGTCGTTACCTACCACATAAAAATAAATTATTTCGCGACTCTGTAAATTATAAGACAACTGCCTCTAATAATATAACTAACAAAGTAACATTCAATAAACTAAGATGAAAATAGTCAGTAAATGCGAATTTTATCCATAGGAGCTAAACTGTTCGTCCCAAAAATAGCTACTCAACACGCTCTCCTATTAAACTAGGTGTCCCACAAGGAAGTGACATAGCTCCCTTTCTGTACTCCGTGTTTACCCACGACATACCAAAGACACCCTACACGTCATTCCTTGGCACAAATGCGGACGATACACTAACTTCAGCATCACACCACGATTCTCAAATTGCCAATCAGATGCTCCAAAACCATCTCAATGTATGATTAATTTATAGTGCAACAAAAATAATCTTCAAGTTAAAACATAATTCACTTAAATGGTATGTAAGATGGCTTTTGTGGCCATCAACAAACAAAAAAACAGGCAATTTTATTCCATTTTCAATTATATAGGTAAGGATGAAAAATATTAGCGATATATTCATAGAAGACCTCGGACTTCATCCAACCTGAGTCAGAATGACCGATTCCCCACTGAGAAGGAACAGACTTTATAATATCTTGAGGGATTCTTTGGTACTTATATACAATCATAGGATGGCACATAGAGCCTGCGGCATTGAAGGTAAACATAACAGTAATGTTGTCTTTAGAATTACCTAATGCAACCTCGTATACGTCTTTAGATCCCCTTGGAGCTAAAACAGTCTTGGTTTTGGGACATAGTGAAAAGCCTGTCTCATCTCCATTAAGCATCCGAGTAGGATCTTGTAGAATATCATCTAAACAATTTTCTAATAGATATTGATGAATGTCAGAAAACCACTTTTTGATGTCTATTTCACTGACACACGCACTAGCTGAGGTGACATGTTCGCTAGAACGCACCGAAATTAGTGGGTGTCTTCGCATAAATGCTTTGTATCATCCACAACCTGACAAAAAACCAAATACAAAATGTTAAAAATATGAGAGCCTATATATTTGAAAAATATATTTAATACCTGGTAAATTATTTTTAAAAGGATTTGGTCTTTCATTAGTTACTAGAAAATGTTGTACACTGAGAAGTAGATCTTCTTTTCGTCTTGGAAAACCTTTCCTGCTACTTTCCATTACCCAAGTTTGTGATAATTCCTCTTCCTCTTGTGTTAATACTGTTGATGGTCCACATGTTGTTTTTCCATTTGGATTTTTCAGTCTATACTGCAAAGTTGATCGTGATATCCCAAACTTTTTAGCAGCTGCCAATTTACTTAAGCCTTCATTCGAAAACGAATGAATTGCAGCAACAATATTTTCTTGAGAAAAGTTTACTCTTTTTCTAGGCATTTTATCGGCATTGGCTAAAATAAAATATACATAATCTATAGTAGGTATCTAATATACAATAGTACAATTGCGATAAAATAATTAATAGCAATTTAAGTTCAAATATTTAAGTATTTATGTAGGTACTTTGAAGTTTTACCTTAATACATTTAAAAAAAATTTCGAAGTGCCAATAACTGAAATTTGAAATAATAACACATAATCAATTATTGGCATAAGGTGCTAATAACTAAAAAACGCTAAATATTTATTTTAGTTATTAGCACACACTTTAATAAATACATAAAAAAAAATTTGATCAAATACTACTTTTTTTTTAGTTTAAAATGTTCTTACGAACTAAAAAAACTTCAGTGTAACAAAATAGTAATGAACTGTAAAGAATAAAAGCTTATTTTTTAAAGCGTACATAGTACTAAAACATAGACATTTTTACCTGTTATTGTGGCAAGTCGAGGTGACTGTATGCGGTTTGATGTGTTTATCCACAACAAAACACGAATGACTGATAACAAATAGGAGCCAAATGATTACCAGTGTGACCATTTATTGATACAAAAAATAACTTTATAGCACAATCACATCACTATTTATTATAAAAACAAAATTGATATGCCAATAACTGTACCACTGCCAATAATAGTACACTTTACCCTATAAATATTAATTTTAATATTTACAGTACAACATTTGAGAAGCAATTTCTTTAGTGCGTTTGATAAATTTGCAATAGTATTTATTAGTTTTAACTAAAAAAACCTTTTTCAGTCGAGTCTGCAACCACGAAAGGGTATTTTCCTGTATCTAAGGTGGCTAGTAAACACATCAAGTTTCAGGCTAATATTTTAGTGTTTAATATCTGGCTTAAAACAATTCATAGAGATTTTGGGCCCTTTAATTATTTTGCTGTATTTATAATTCTTTTGTAATCACTATGACAACAGCTTTTAGCTAAAACAAATGTATTTAAACGCAAAAACAAATTTTGTTCTAAATCTGTTGACCTAACTGATCATTTTTAAAATCAAATGGCAAATTCCACGAATAGTGAAGAAAACAGTTTTAACGTTCTGGGCGGTATAGATGATGGCGGGTCTGACTCTGTCTCGTCTCCGGGTAGCGAAAGTAGTCGGGAAATACAGAATTGGCTAACAGCTGAACAAAATCAGAGGGAGTTTGTCGCCGCTCTGGATGGCCTTATAAAGAGTCAAAAGTCTCTAAGCAAATACAACACTAAACCTTTTCGCAATAGAGATATTTTTGTCACACAAAATATTTACTGAACCACTGAACTGATTTTTTTCATGTAGCAAGTCTATAGATCACAAAATACTCTCTAAAAGGTGTTTAATCGGGCCAAAAATGAAAAAAGGCCCCCGTTCGAACACAGATCTACCGATAAAGGTTGTCAAGTCAAAAATGATCATAAACCCTTCCCCCCAAGTGAGGTGGATACTTTCTCATTAGATTCTAGAACACTACACCCCGCCATTCGTCCAATCTAAGGCTATACACTTAGAAAATATACTGTTTTTGTGTACTGTTATTTACACTGATGTTGTTGTTGTTTTTTGCTTTATATTTTTCAATCCGCCATTCTTGTCCTACTGCGTGTGTTTATTATAAACACCATATAACGTAATGAATAATATTTGATAAATTATTTCACCCAATAGAGTACCTCTGCCAGTTGGAAAAAAGAAATTCATATGGGTGTGAATAATTTTAAAAAGTAGGTAACAATAATATGTTAGACAGCGTCCAATGATATCTCGGTTCGTTGAAATTTAGGTACTACGCATTAGGACCTGCATACTGTCCGAAGCATTATTTTCATTGCTGCGTCACAAGTAAAATTTAACATTTGTGCAAATATACCAAAAACCCGTAAAATAAAAAAAATATTTGTTTATGTGAAACTCATTAATTATTTATGTAAGACTTAACAAACAAAGAAACTTGTTTTGGTTGCATTTAACCTCGTGCCGAATTGAGTTATTTGGGTATATAAGCAACCGAGTTGAACACCTAATCCATACTAGTCTTTTTACTTTGGGCACAGTGAGTGTTTGAATTTTGACCAACCCGAAATTTCAGTTCATACATAATATTCTATTATGTCGATCCGTTTGTTCGACATGTTCTTGGCGACACTATTAATATTATTCGTTACGTACAAAACTTAATAACTTTGCAAAAAAAATGTATTGTTATTTAAAATTTATCTATAATTAATTTTTCTTGAAATTGTTTTTTACAAGTATTAATTGACAGTATAAACTGCGGTGGTGACGATGATAATCCACAGGTAAAGTTTAATTAAAATGAAAATTTTTTTTTAAAAATAATAAGTATTATTTTTAAGAAAATATATAAATTAATTTAAGATGATGTTATAATACCCCCTATTTGTTAAAGAGTTAAGGTATAGGCAGTTATTTTGTAAAATCGTAATTTAAAGGCTAAACTGTGATGTTTAATTATTTGTTAAGTAATCTTGACTCTTTTTTGGTAGTTTATTTATTTTTCGAAATGCCACAGCATATCCTTGACAGCGGTTAAAAAAAAAATTCATCTAAACTGGCTAAGCGCATATTCTCTCTTATCAACTAAATAACAATCGTTGACAATTTTTTTTTACATATTTAAAAAAATAAGAACTTTATCCAGGTTCTCTAGTCGGCTTTTTTTGGTATAATTAACCCAACATTCACAATTTATATTTTAATTTTGACAATTTTTTAACTTTTTTAAGTGCTTGTATTTAAGGTAAAATTAAAGTTTTCCATAAAAACCGACGAGATAACCTAGTTAAAGTTCTCTTTTTAACGGTACCAACATTTTTATTATATGACCAATTTGCTTTGACCTACATGCTTTACCGTAAACCCCTTTTTTTACGATTATTTTTAAAGTGTATAACGTCCTCTTAACAATTAATAATAAGCAAACAAAAAATATATATATATATAAATATATTTATGAAAACCATCTTATTCAGTCGTTAATAAAATATGTATATGTCTTAACAAAAAATAGTTTAACAATAAAATTGTTCATGATTAAAAATGTTAGCTAATTTTAGTTAATATAATTATTTGTGAAGATCAAGCTAACATTAGCTCATACCCTTAAATCAAATAAAAGTTTAGCTCAATGACTCATTTTTATTAAATGTTGACTAAAAATGGGATTGTTGTGTAATTAAAAATCATATACATGTTATACATGTGTAAAGATATATTTTCAGTAAAATATTTCAGCATAAAGAATATTTTTTTAGACAAAACAGAAAAATTACTTTTTAAATATTAACATCCATATTAGAAATTATAGTTTGATAAGGGAACCATAACCAACCTAAACACATCATAATTCATATTTTGCCACTTTGTACAACACCTACTTATTTGAAGGCGCCAACTATGATCATGAGATGGCTTACAACAAACATAGTGTATCTACATACAATTACAAAATATTAATTAAATTTTGTTGTTTTGTTTATAAACTAGTATGACCCCAGAACGAAACGTCCTCAGGTGACTGCCGACCAGCCAGTAAACATTGTACGTATACTACTTGGTTAATTTTACTAAAAAAATTTCGAATAATAAAAGTATGATTTAAGAATAAATATAAAACGTCTAAATGTATGTTTTTTCAACGGTCATTCTGCACCACTATCTCATAACCGTGCCTGGTAAGTGGTAACAGCTAGTAACATAGAAGCCATTTTTTACCAAAATGGCGTCCACCGGTGTGCATCGATGTTTTTTGTGTGTAAAACATGGTGGAGTTACCAGACCTGGTTCTGATAAGATAACTGGTTCTGTACCGAATATTGGTTATCAAATGATAACACTATCAAATGGATAATGATAAAGTCAGAAATGTCAGAAATTTTCGCCAAAATACAATTTGAACAAATAAGATTTTTCTTTTTGTAAAAAAAATGTAAATTAATTACAATCTCCAATTGACAAAATAATAGTTACTCCTCATTTTAAATCGTTTCGAGTATCACGGGACTATTTGGAGGACAGTGTATTTCTTTGAACGTCTAAACATTTCGAATAATTGATTTGTTTATTATAGTTTTACAGGCCACGCCACATTATAATCATGGGTATGACTATACCCAGGATAGTTCATACTATGGCAACAATAGCGGCTTTGCTTACGGCGTTCATCAACCATATTATCCTCAACAGACTGGTGACTATAACACATACGGTTCACAATAGTACGATGATTAATACAATAAAATTATATTATTATTTTATTGTGTGTGCGTTTTAATCATGTAACGATTTATTCAATAAATTATTATCATAAACCTATAAAACACTAAAATGTTTTTATTAATATAACATTGTAAAAAAAATCCCAGTGGTTTCCGTTGACTCTTGACACAAAAGTACCTAAAATAATTATTATGGTTTCTGCTCAAAATCCTCTGCCGGTATATAGATCTTTATTATCAAAAATGTAGGTACATTGTGCGTAGGTATAAAAATAAAAAAAGCTGTTAGAAACATATACGAATTATGCAAACGATGATAAAAAAAAAACAACGAACAACATAGTTCCATGTGAAGTATAACTTGGATCGATTGCTCAATAATGACATGTTTAGATTAACTTATAACGTAGAAACATTATAAAAATGTAACAAAACAAATTTAATAATAAAAAGTTTGCTATGGATTTAACTACTAAAATTAAGATTTCAAAAAAAATATAAGCTGTTCAGGACTGTGATCTTCGTCTGTAAGTACATTTACTTCAGGAAGTTCTATAAAAATATCTTCTACGTGGGCCTGACGTTCATCATCAGCTTCAAATATTATCTTGAGGGCTTCTTGAAGAGTTAACTCATTGCTCCAAAAAAGAAATGAAAGAATAATATATTATTACGCTTGTTGCACACGGAGAGTCCTGCCGTTACCATACGGTAACGCTGTGAAAAAAGCTTATGTACGCTTATATGAAAAAAAAAATTCTGAAAAATTGTATCCAATATATTCCCAAACACACTAAGAAAATATTTTCATAGCTGACTAGAAAAAAAATTAAGTAAAAATATAATAAATAAACTTACTTTCCGCAAAAATCCATGCCGATTCAAACCAAATAAAACCACAAACTTCAAACATGTGTAAATCGCAACTGAGTAAGGTTATCATGTTCCGATAAATAATTTATATATTTATATAATGTCATTAAGGCGTACACGTTGGGAATATGGTCTATTATTAGAAAAAATGTTTTGCGTTACCACATGGGTACGCGAGGACATAATGGGTTAATTTGATAAAAAAAAAAGGTTTCACCGGATTATTCGAAATAATTTTACAATCGAGAACTCGGATGGGGTTTGTTGGGGGACTCTTATTAATAATAAATCGATTAATCTCGATTTCAAATGAAACAAATGTCTTCGCAAACAAATCGTCTTGGCGGTTATTAGTAAAAAAAGCTATCGTCTCGTGCGGCTTGTTTCCACGACTTAAGCCACTGCTTCGGTATGTCGTCCACCCTGTATCTGGTATTAAACCACGGTTCGGTCACGTCTAGATGTATGCGTTCGGCCATGCGACGCGACTGTACTGTGACGGATACTCGATCGGCTTTCATGTGATCAATGTACCTTGTAATCGTCTTGAAATCGGGTAACACCTGGCCGAACTGCTCGAGATAATCACGCGGCCGGTAGTATTGCATGTGTTTTGCGATGCGAATTACAGCGTTAAGAGGCGGTACCAGATGGATGGGATAGGAATCCATATCGGCCATCACTTCACGGTAAACGTACGGCGATTGTGCCACTGTCGCCCGAATGGTCGCCAAGTAGTCGAACACCCGGCGAACAATGTCTGGCAATTTCTCGTCGGTCGTCGTGTCTAGATACTTGAGTTGCACCGTGAAAATGGCATACCACGTGTTGGACCGAAACTGCTGTGGCCCCACGCCAGCCCACACGTTCACCGCCGACCATCCGCGGTCAATGAAATCCCGGCGCAGAGCATACAAGTATTGTAAATCCAACAGCCGACCGACAAACTCGAGAGGGCGGCTTTTGTAGTGAGGATAAACGGACGGCACCAGCCAATTCAAGTGTACGGCGTTTAAATTCTCATCCTCGGGCAAAATCGTAAACATCCTTTGGAACCTAAGATAAATACAAAAAAGGTAAACGTAAAACATCATGTTTTTAATCAAATTCGTCGGTGGGCGACTAATACCTCGTATTTCAAAAAAGTAAAATGATTAGGAGAGACTAAAACGTGTTTATAAAATCAAGTTTTATCGATAAATTTTTAGCATATTAACATATTTAACAAGAAGTTGACTGTTGACATACCATTTTATTAAAACGTATTATTATTTTAAATTGTACACAATGAGATACAATATATTTCGCGCCCAAAAAGTTGATAACCGAGTTACGTCAAATTTACTTTTTAGTCTCTAATCTCATTGGAAATAACAAGTTAATAAGACATTATTTTATCAAAACATGTGTTTTTTCCCCGCTTTTTTTTATGTATAAATCGCAAAATTGATATTTTTTTGAGATAGAGGTATTGGTATAGCCCATCGACGCAATGCTGAATTTATTTAAAAAAACCAAATGACATCCGCTCCGGTTACATAGTAGGCGTTTTGCCTCAAAACATCATAAACTGAGTAGCTGTCTTAACAAGAAAAAAAATAATGAAAACGTTGTCGAGATGCTGTATTAAATGTGGATTCCGAATTTTCCAAACTGTATATAAGAACTTTTTTTTAACCTAGACTAAGTAATAAAACTACTGTTACAAAACATGTATCTTTATATCAAAGTCTTCAAAAGGGTTTTTAGAGCCCTATAAATAGGTTTTCAATTGTAAGAAAAAACTTAATTTCCTATTTTTTTAATGTAGCAACATTGCTTTTGGTTCCATCACACGAACGGATTTAAATACAAATCTCAACAAGACAACAGAGTAATTTTTTATTATTCTTTTGAACCTATTTCTATGTGATCCAACATAAATCCCAAAACAGCGAAACGTCAGCTAACTAATGACAACATGGATAAATCCGAGAAAATGATCAAACTAATTTATATTTTGAATCACAAATTGCAGAAAAATGACAACCTTATAAAATCAAAATTTACAGGTGATACAAATAAATGTCTTGGCAAGTCGGGCAAGAAGTTTGTTTTAAGAATGACTTTATTATGCACCTTACTTCAAAAAATAATCCTCTCCATATTTTTCAAAGGTTAATATGGATACTCTTTTTTTCATATTTCTTTCTACCAAACCCATTATGTCAACTATTTTTATTTCGTATGGAATGTCATTCAGTTGAATATTATGACTTTTATACTTTCTATTGTCTATAGTCAAACCATTGTTAAGTTCAATTATTTTTTATTTAATTATTACTGTTATAGATGATATATTATAAATCAATTGTAGTGTAGTGTCATACTTATTATAATAAAAACATTTCAATTAAACTTGTTTAAATCAATAAACAACAACTTATTGTCATCGTACTTAACGTGTCGACTACATATATATTACAATTCCTAACAACCTGAGGTTACATTGTTACAAATACAAGCACGTGGACGGTTCACGGATAGCCTGCCGATAAACTCGACCAAGGTAAGACTACCCAAAGAATCCGTGGCCACCTGAATAAACCGCGGCCACAACATTAATACCGAACTATAGAGGAACATTGCTTTTCGGGACTTTACACTGGGGTGTTATTGTAGGTATAAATGTATATATATATATATATAGAGAGAGAGAGGGATATTATATTGGATGTGTGAGCTGTTGAAAAGTTTTGACCTTTTATATGTGCTAAATAATTATTTAATAAGATTTACAATTAGGCTCATAGACCTTTTCATTTACCTTTTAGAATCAAAGGCGGTTTTGCTAAACGAAATATCTGTATTTTTTCTCTTCGATCGTAACCCAGAAAAAGCTTCGATAGCCATTGTAGTTATGTCGTCTATACTTTCAGACGAATGAACTGCTAATGTCATTCTATCAGCCGTATAGAATTTGTCTATAAATTTAACAACAGCTGATTCACTATCCGATCCAATCGGTATAGATTTCCAGTTGCCCCATGTAAACTTCCCTGCTGGATGTTTTCGTGACGCTGTTGTAGCAAGTACTTGTTCGGCTCTTAGTTGGTCCGACGAAAGAACACTCCCGAATTCTTCGTCCACCCTCTTAAAATGAAATTGTCATTTAAATTGGTGTTACTTACTATTATTAAATAATTATTACTCATATTAATTACCTAAAATAATACATTACTTATTTGCTATAAGTTATTACAAATATAGTGGAATTGGTCATCGTTAAGTCAATCTACACAATATTTACTGGTTAGTAAATATTGATGGCCAAACAACTACCTATTTTATTGTAAAAGTACCTAATCGAGATTCGATCGGACGTTATTATAAGCAAACCTACTATAAAATGATATTTAGCATCGCGGTTACTTTTCTTTCGAAATCCAAACCCTTAGAATTGATGATCGGATCGATAAACATGTGTGCGAACTGGTCGAGGAATTCTCGTATTCGGTCGGTCGGCAATTGCATGTAATAACTAACGTGCTCGGCATCTGTGGTCGCGTTACAGCAGCCCCCGACCCTCGTCAGCTCGTCCAACAGACCGTAAGGGTTGGGGTATTTGTGAGATCCTTGGAAGAGAAGGTGTTCGACGTAGTGCGATAGGCCGGGTATGCGATCCGGTTCGAAGAAGCTGCCGGCTCGCACGCAGAGCGAACAAGCGGAAAAACTTGTACTTTCCGCGGTGGATACGATGCACATCCGCAGTCCATTAGCCAATTGTAAGTTCACATAGTTGTTGGGGTCCGACCGGTGTTTGGCCGGTGGGTCTATAAATTTGTATGCCACTGAGAAGCAACGTTTTGTAAGAAAATTTTTCAACATTTACGATATGTAATTTTTTGTTGTGAACGTATCATAGGTAACAAAAAAATACACCATTGATTTTATTACGTTATAATATTATTATTATTAAACAAAAACCAATGCGTGTTACGAGTACGCGCGGATGAAGTAAAACTTCTTCAGAGTCATTCAACTAATGCTTCATGTATCAGTTAGTATTAAACTAGCCATATCATATTATTGGCCAGACTGTAATTTTTAATCACATAAAATGAATTCCAATAAGAGTTTCCAAAATGTATTCAATTTTTTATTGATTGGGTAATCTGGTAAAAATGTTCTACGTATATTTTGTTATTTCATTCTTTTTACTATGAAGTTCATTAAAAATAAGTTGGTAATACACCTTGTTTGAACGATTTAATAAAATTAAATTTAAAAAATGCAATTGAGCAACCATTTTTTAAAGAGGGCTAGAAAAAAACCTTAATATTTAATTCAAAACCTATTCTTCAGTAAAGCAATCAGATTAAATTAGATGGTTTTCGCACAATCTCCATTTTGTTAATTTTACTTTCTATTCAAATTCGATACCAAAGTTAATATGACTATTTGGTCATTTCAATTTCCACGAAAAGCCAACATAGCATATTTTATTTACATTTGTAATTTGTACAATTTTCAATGTTCTTTAAAAACACCAGGAAATAAATAATATATTAGTAAATGTACGTGTGTAATTAGTATATGCTAAATTGACTGCTTATCATAACTACGGTACAATTATTATGGTACACATTTTCAGTTTAAAATAAACCTTAAGATAATGAGTTCAATTTAAATATCAACGTAACGTTGTTAAATATATTTTCCCACTCTTAATTTACAATAAATTATTTTAATACAGAATTTAAAAAAAAAACTCTCGCACACTAGTGCATTTGGGCAAACATTTTTAGCTTCGATGCAAAGCGAGAAGTTATTGGTTTTACTCTGATGTTTTTTTTTTTTACTTAAAACACGGTGTACCAGATGTGAGAAACGAACAGGCGCTAAAAACTGTCAGTTGGTAACGTCTACCCGTGTTAGGTTAAGTTAGGACCCAATGGTCGGTATCATAATATTGTGTTTATTACATGATATCACAGACGACTAAATCGTGTAACTGATAATAGTAGATACACGATTTATTGAGAAAAAACCGATCCGTGTACTTATTGAGACACTTAATGATTCTGACATGACAAAACCACTGTTGTTATCTCGTTATTTTATTGCCCACGTTATATTACCGTACAGTGATAAAATCATCTTCGAAAAAACGCTTCGATGCAAATCGGTAGTTAGTATTTTCAAGCCAGTACAATCCAAACCAAGCACATTATAAACCAGTAAAGTTGGAAAGTTTAAAATTGAGGTTCTGCATTTACAAATAAGCATCAAAGCGTTTATTTGAAAGTGATTTTATCCAAAAGGACTAGTACAGTAGAGTATTGGCATAATGGAATCAAAGCAATGAGGAAACGGAGAGGTCACAGGTCTACAAGAATTATTATAAATAAAAGTGATAAAATTGAATAAAATCGCTTTCAAATAAACGCTTTGATGCTAATTTGTAAATACAGAACCTTCATTTAAAACTTTCTAACTATGCTGGTTTATACTGTGCTTGGTTTGGACTGTACTGGCTTGAAAATACTAATTACCGATTTGCATCGAAGCGTTTTTTCGAAAGTGATTTTATCACTTTCAGATTTAAAAATTCCTGTAAATCTGTAACCTCTCCGTCCTCACTATGCCCCGATCCAACTATGCTCCGTCCCCACTATGCCCCGACCCCACTGTACTGGTTTTTTTAAAAATAATTTTTATATTTTAATGATAATATTTTAAACCGGAGAACATGCATATTTTTTCCCGTTTATACGTATTGAAAGAAGTAATAATTTATAATTTCTTAATTCATATATTTAAATTTTCAAGTTCTTTCTCGCAGTTTAGGAAAAATATCAAAATAGTCTCCCTAATTATGGCTTTATTATTTTAAAAGGTACTTCGTCGACGGAACTCGACTCACGAGATTGGTTAATAGTAGATGGATAATGCATCACTCGGATCCCCAGTTTTCAGGACGTAGACGGGAGCTCCACAATTTTGTTAGTGAATTTTAAATGTTCAGAAGTATTTAAGAAGTTTTTCTTCTGAGCACGCACCCATTGGCTTTTCCGATCAGATCGCTCATCGTCGCGTGAGCTTTCAAGTTTTTGATGCGGACATCGCTCAGCGGATGCGTGGCCATCCACCAAAAGAACTGACTGAGGTCAGTATCATACTTGGACATTTTGGCCCAGAAATTGACGGCCTGGCTGTACGTGTCCGCTTCCAGTTTTATGCGCCTGCTGCGGGCCAGCTCAGCCACCAGATAGTATACTATCTTGTACAGCACCTCGGACGCGTACACCTCGTAGTTGTTGAACGCTAAAAAGTAGGCCACGGTCAACGGCAACAGTTGTACAGCCGCCGATGGCTCATCATCTCGGTGGAGTGCCGGAGAAAGCAGTGGGCCATCTCGTGAGCCACGTACATGGTCCACGTTGGTGAAGTCCAACTGGCCGCGGTAAAAGAACATCGAACCGTAGGGCAGCGCAAATGCGTTCACCTCGGACTCGTGCAAAGCGATTTTATGCACTATCCCGGCCACTTGCCTGTGCCTGGCGCTGTCCTTGGGGTAGACCAACACGCAGAACCGGGCCAACATGTGGACCATTCGTCGATTTCCGACATCTCGCGGTCGGAGTACAGACTGAGGGTTGCGCTTCCCGTGTAAGGGTTAACGACGGTGTGACACCGGTAAAAGTCGGTAAACAAGGTCAACGCGACGGCGGCGGCGAAGACAATCGACGCCTTCGAGCTCTTCAAAGTCTGTTCGGCCTCCGTTAACCATTTCTACCACCATTGCAGTCCCCATCCCACCAGCATCGATGTCATGTGCATCGATATCGATATGAGTTCATCGCGGAAAACGGCGGCCGACAACTCGAACATCGCCGAACAGAAGCCGTCAGTCGCGAATACCGCCATCAGGCCCGTGCCCGTGGCCACCGTCGCCATGCCACCGTATCGTATCACAGGCCATTTGGCCAACAGCGAAGTCATCCCTGGCTGAACAACCGGAACGTAACCCACTACCACTGGCCGGTCACGTCGATCCTGCAAACAATTCGCAGTGGTTGACAAAGTTTTGGTGGTCAACGCTTAAGCTATTTACCCATTTATTTCGAATAGACTTTCCTATTAACGTCATGCCCTTCGCTAAAATTTCGTCAACGGTCGATTTTTGGCCGTTTTGTTATCGATATGTTATCTGATCGATTAGTTATTTATTCGCCATGCTCACGCCCGTATGCGGTTTGTAGCCAGGGAATCTCAAAACAACAATTTTCAGTTTCGTGAGATAGCTGCTTGTGTGGATTTGACAGTGATGCGGTCGTTTTTCGGGCTAAAACAACAGTCAACGGCTCGGTTTTTACAGTACACATTCCAAAAATCCAACGCCAGAAGCTGGAGAAGAACGTGGCACAGGCTGTTCTGATCAGTTACGTCAACTGCTGTAGAATCTGAACAGTAGAAACTTCATAGGCATATTTTATTTGACCTACAATAATGGCCAACGAGTTAAAATCAGCACTAGTTACTTTGAAGCTTCGCCCTCAGAACTTTCCCTTCATCAGATCAAATGAATCCTGTATCCCCCACTATACAGAAGCTACCTTGCATAGCAGAATATACCTTGGCTTAACACTAGACAAGCGTTTAAAAAATTGACTGGATTGAGTACCATACTCAACTTTCAAATCCCAAAACTATCTATACTTGTTTGGCTAAAGATTGTTACACTTGCGTTTACTTCCATTTGGATATCTTGACTGTTTGAAATGGGAGTAACCGCAATACGTGTAAATATAATACCCCATTCAAACGTCGCTTTGAAAACGATATTTATAATCAAAACTAATAATAATATAATGATATAATAAATGAAAGCTATCAAATTTTCAAAATGTTTTTGAAGACCAAAAATCTAAAATTTACACAATATTGACTAAATTGTACTATGTAAAATGTTTGAAAAAAATTCATAATTTTTTTTTTTTTTTTTTTTTGAGTTCAAATCTGGGATTTTAAAATGGCCTCTTAAATTGTAAAAACACACAGTTTAGTAGTATTTTCTGCGCCAACAAGTAACATTTTCTTCTCTTATTGTTTGCTAAATTCAAAATCGGTCATAAAATTACTAATATAGATTTTTTAAGTTTTTTTTTTATAAAAATATTTAAGAAAACGGAATATTTCTTATTTATATTTTGTATGTTGTTTAAATTTTTAGTTTATGTGAATTAAAAAAAGATTTAATTACTTTAAAGTCGATGCTGGTGGGATGAGGGCTGCGGTAGTGGTGGAAACGGTTTACGGAGGCCGAACGGTCTGGGCACGTGGAGACTGAAGAACTCGAAGGTGTCGCTTGACTTCGCCGCGGCCGTCGCGTAGGCCTTGTTTACCGACTTTTACCGGTGTCACACCGTCGTTAACCCTTACACGGGACGCGCAACCCTCAGTCTGTACTCCGACCGCGAGATGTCGGAAATCGACGAATGGTCCACATGTTGGCCCGGTTCTGCGTGTTGGTCTACCCCAAGGACAGCGCCAGGCACAGGCAAGTGGCCGGGATAGTGCATAAAATCGCTTTGGACGAGTCCGAGGTGAACGCGTTTGCGCTTTCTCCGGCACTCCACCGAGTTGATGAGTCATCGGCGGCTGTACAACGTGGCTGAACTGATGCCGTTGACCGTGGCCTACTTTTTAGCGTCCAACAACTACGAGGTGTACGCGTCCGAGGTGCTGTACAAGATAGTATA